CATTTCCTTTGGCTATATACCCAGAAGTGGGATTGCTGGATCATATGATAGTTCTTTTTTAATTTTTTAAGGAACCTCCATACTGTTTTCCATAGTGACTGTATCAATTTACATTCCCACAAACAGTGCACAAGTGTTCCTTTTTCTCCACATCCTCACCAGCTCTTATCTGTCTGTCTTTTTTATAATAGCCGTTCTAGTGGGCGTGAGGTAATACTGTGGTTTTGATTTGCATTTCCCTGATGATTAGTGGTGTTGAGCAACTCTTCATATATCTGTTGTCCATTTTTGTGTTATCTTTGGAAAAAATGTATATTCAGATCCTCTGCTTATTTTTTAATTAGATTATTTGTTTTATTGTTGCTGAATTGTGCAAATTCCTTATATATTTTGGATATTAACCCCTCATTGGATATATGGTTTGCAAATATATTCTCTTGTTCCATAGGTTACTTTTTCATTTTGTTGGTTGCTTCTTTTGCTGTGCAGTAACTTTTAGTTTGTGTAGTCCCACTTATTTAATTTTGCTTTTGTTACCTGTGCTTTTGGTGTCAGAGCTAAAAAATAATTGCATAGACTAATGTTTATAATTAGTTTTGTCTCTTTTTGAACTTCGTATAAATGGAATCAGACAGTATATATTCCTCTGTATCTGACTTCTTTCATTCACTGTTATGTATGAGAGAATCATTCATATTTTTCTATATAGTGGTAGTTTGTTCATTTTCTCTGTTCTATGCTATTCCCCTGTGTAAATTTATCACATGATACCGTAGTCGGTACTGATTGGCATTCCCTTAGCAATACATGACAGCTCCAAATCTTTACCTGTACTTGGCATGAAATAGAGATACTTTCCCTTCCGCTATCCAAAATGCACCTTAAATCATAGACATTAGTCAACTGAAATCATACAGAATTTATTGAAGGCAAGTCTGACAAAGTGCTATATTACCCTAGACATTGAAGAGCTATAAAGGTATATAAGATGCAGTCCCTACCTCACTCATTGGTGGTGGAGGTAGTGGTAAGGGAAAGTGTTAAGGAGGTAGCAACATATCCAATGACAATATGAACATAAAGACCCATACCAAGTTAGAGGAAGCGTGTCTGTAGGAAGGGTTACTTTGGATTGATTGTTTCCATGAGACAAGGGTTGTATTCATTAAGACAATGAAGCTTCTGCTACAAAACTAATCCCAAAACATATGATGAAGGAAACACAGCAAAGGTTGTTTCTCAGTCATCAAAAGTTAAAAACAGGTTCCTGATTGGTGGTTCATTCTGCTCCAAATGGTGATTCAGAGATCCAGATCCTTCCATGTTGTAGGTTCACCATCTTCAGCATGTAACTTCTAGGATTGCTGGACTTGTCCACGTTAAGGTGGAAAAAGGAGGAAGAACTAGAGGATAGAAAGTTTTAATAGCCAGATCTGAAAAGAGTGTAGGTCATTTCTATTCAATTTCCATTGGCTAGAACTCCACCACGTGGCCACCACTAACTGCGAGGGAGGTCAGGAAATGTAGTCCAGCTGTGTGTCTAGGAGATGGGATGGGTTTGTTGACCACCTAGCAGCCTTTGCCACAAGTCTCATGATGGCAGGGCATTTAAGATAGGTCGTGAAGCAACGTGAAGTATTTTGACAGACACTGGAAAGGAGGATTAATCCAGGTAAAATAAAAAGCATGAAGAAGGACTCACAAGTAAACAGAAACAAATGCAAGAGTGTATTTGAAAAATAAGAGATGGTTCAGTTTTAGACGCAGAGTCATGGATAAAGAGAATAAACTGATGGTTGCTAGGTGAGAGAGGGGTTGAGGGGATGGGTGAAAGAGGTGAAGGGATTAAGAAGTACAAATTGGTAGTTACAAAATAGTCACAGGGATGCAAAGTACAGCATAGATGATATAGTCAATAATATTGTAATAGCTATAGTCAATAATAGTGTAATATCAAATGGGCACTAGACTTCTTGGGGGATCACTTCATAAATTATATAAATGTCTACCACTGTACTGTACACCTGAAACTAATATAAAAGAATATTGAATGTCAACTGTAATAAAACAAGAGATGGTCCAGTTTTTTAGGAGCCTGTAGAGCGCATCATGAGAGAAACTTAGAAAGACAGATTGAGGCTATTTCCAACCTGAAGCCACATTTTTAGAGGTTTTAGAATCCACACTGAGGAACGTACATCCACCATGTTTTTTGTTTGTTTGTTTTTTGTTTGTTTGTTTTGCTATTGGGGCTCACTCCCACTTGTAGGAAAATTGTGGCCCAGATTGATTTTCTTTCTTTTCCTTCATACTCTGGTCTTTCCTAGACTTTTTATGTTTATCTTCAAAACATGCTGGCAGCAGTTAAGGAGAGGGGTATAGACCCTCAGCATGGGCAACTTTATTTTGAGCATTTGTACCAGAGAGTTTCAGTGTCTCCCTAGGGGCCTCCTTCCGAAAAAACCAGTCCAGAGAATGGTATCTGCTGAATGCTGTTTGGGATGGATCCCAAGTTCAGTAGAGGGAGGAGGGAGAGGAATTCCTTTCTGACTCTAGGACACAATCAGCTTGTGCTCAAGATCCTGAAATTTAATTACCCACGCTGTTATCTTAGCTTGCATAGCTCCAACTGTGGCTCAGCGTTAAAAAAGTATCCGGTCCTTTAAAACCCAGCCTCAGCCTTCAGCTTGATGACCTCGTGAGAGTGATTAATTGGGAAGGGTGGGAGCTGGGGAAATCCTTTCCCCTCCCTTCAGATCTGCCAACTTGGCTTTGAATCTACAAGAATGTTTTGGCTGGAGAATATACATCTCCACACCCTCTACCCTCACCTCTGCCCCATGTTGTGTGTTCTATTTGGTGATCATATGCATTCATATTTGCTAAACTAATTTTGACCCAGGCTTTACAATGTGCTGCCCCTGGAAGGCTTCTGCGTGAAATTATTCCTCGTTCCTTAAGCCTCTGACCATGAAATTAATGACTGAAGATTTATCTTTGCTCTACAGTTTGGGGTGGATTTGTTTCATTGTTCCTACCAGGATGTAAGCATGATTGTATATCTTTCTTAGACCATTGAAATAAAGAGAAAACAGAACCTTTGATGTAACACCCAAACATCTAAAAGGTCCTTTTATTTTTCAAAGCGAACTTGAAAGAGACTTAGCTCACAGTTTTTCAAGATCCTGAGCACGTTGATTATATTTGGATTTTATGGAAAGGGAGGTGTTTACTTATTATACATCTAGACTTTTTTCCCTCTAACTGGTCACAAACCTCATTTAAAGAAATCATTGTTACATTGTAGCCTTTGTCCTATGCGCATCTTTCTTCCTCTTCTTCACCAAGACACCCTCACTGGTTCCTCTCCATGGCCGCCTTCTGTACTTAAGTCTTCAAAGAACTAAACCTTGGTGGTGGTAGGCATTTGTTTTTTTGGGTTTTTTTTTTTTCTCTTTTGGTTGCTTGCATGTGGGAAAGATAAAACTCTTCAGGCCAATGTCTGTGGTACCAGCTTACTCCCCCTGTGTGCTTTGAGATTTGTATCCCTCTCAAAACACTCAAACATTTGGGGAGACAGTGTGATGCAGGGGAATAGAACATGAGCGGAAACTAAGCTGGGTCTAACTAAGACGTGGGTCCAAATTCTAGCTTTGCCTTTTACCTCAGTGAGATCTGAATAAAAAACTTGACCTTTTTGATCTTCTGAGCCTGAATTTTGATAGCATTGATTAGTTTTAGCTGTTTTTGAGTTTTATCTAGCCAGAACAACACAGTATATAGTCCTTTGTATTGGTTTCTTTTACTCGATATTATGTTTGTGAGATCCATTCAAGTCGTTGTATGTAGCAATAGTTCATTCAGTGGCATTTATGGTATCGTGTTATAAATTGAAAGTCATTTGTCCTTTCTACTTTGATGGACATTTGGGTTGTTTCAGCTATTATGAATTGTGATTCTATGATAATTTTTGTAAAATCGTGCATATACACATTCTTATGAATAATGTCCTATACTGGTTCCCCTAGAAGCAGCTCTGAGAGAGATTTGCTTACAGGAAGTTTATTTCTTTCTGCCATCAAGATCAAAGTTGCCTACACCTGAAACTAATATAAAATAATATTGAATGTCAACTGTAACTGAAAAAAAATAAATAATTAAAAAATATCCTTCCCCTGTCCCGCTGAAAAAGATCAGCGTTGCCTTCAAGATCAATACTAGTGGGCGAACGAGAATGAGGGTTGGACAGAGAGAGAAGCTAGACTGTGATGCAGTTACAACAAAGGCCTCAGACAGCCTATGAGGAACTCTGGTGCTGAAATGGCCCTACAGAGTTGTGCCAATCAGAAGCAAGGAGGCTAGACCTTTATACGTCCCTCATTCACCAGTCATTGCGTGTGAATTGACCCAGGAAAGGGAGAGTGGTTTTCCATGAGACATTTCTCTTCCACAGAGAGTGGGGGCCACGTTTGTGAGCTGTCATCCATCAACATTCCTAGCAGGTGGTAGAATGAGTGTTCCAGCCCTAAATATCCTAAAGCGTGAATGTGCGTGCGTGTGCATGTGCGTGTGCGTGTGCGTGTGCGTGTGTGTGTGCGTGTGTGTGTGTGTGTGTGTTGGGGTTGAAGTTGAGCAGTACACACAGTGTCCATTACATTGTACCCAAAAACCATCTTAATTTAGATTTTGAGATTCCCCAAGTGGGATCTTACCACAAAGATAAAGAAACATTTATAGAAGGGAAACATAAATGTGAGAATATTCTATGCATTAACTTAATGTTTTTTATATTATGGAAGAAACAAAATTGAGAACCATTGGAGTAGACTGTTTATCATTCTCTACCTTATGGCTTGACTTCCTGAAAACTGTCAGCATTGTTCAGGATGTTCTGAAATCTAGTTATGGAATGAGTATATCCTAAAGACTTCCTTTTGTGCTGAGAAAATAACGGAAAGGAGATATATGAATTCACTGTTGCCTCGGATTTCATTTTTCAGAGTGGCCAAGTCAATGAAGGTGCCTGTCTATGAGACCCCAGCTGGATGGCGATTCTTCTCAAACCTGATGGACTCGGGACGGTGCTCTCTGTGTGGAGAAGAGAGCTTTGGCACTGGTAGGCTTTGTGGGGTTGATGTTACCGGAAAGCGGGGGCTGCAGTTTGTGACCCAGGTTTAGAGACCTGTGAGCCCACTGTGAACCAAAGGAAGAGTTAATTAGAGGTAAATAAATGAACAAGAAAGAAAGAAATTTAGTAGAATATGTGCTATGATACCCTTATCTCTTCTGTCCATTTCTTCTTTTTTAAAAACAATTTTCCTTTTACCCTCATCTTTAAAAAAATTGCTGTTATAGAAATTTAAGATAATTTATAAGAGTAGAGAGACTATTATACCGGATTCCCATATGTTCACTTAGTTTTCAACCATCAACTCATGGTCAGTCTGCTTGATCTCTACCCTCTTCCACAAGGGGAACCCTCCTCCATGATGATTGTGAAGCAATCTGTAGTGTGAATCTGTAACAGCTATTGAGAAGAAAAATATGTGACCACAGTACTGTTATCACACCTAAAATGTTAAAAATAACTTCTTCTTTCACTATTTTAAAGATGTCACTTCATTGTTTTCTAGCTTGCATAGTTTCCAAGAAGTGACCTCTAATTCTTATCTCTGTTTCTGTCTGCTCCACAGTCCCTGCCTCTGGCTGCGTTCAATATTTCCTTTTTTGCTTTTGTTTTCAACATTTTAGTTATAATATGTCTAGGTATGTGCACTCTTTTAAAACCCTGCTTGGGGATCTCTGGGATTCTTGGATCTGTTGGATTCTTGGATCTAAAATTTCCTTAATTTTAGAAAATTCTCAGCCATATCTTTTCAGATATTTCTCCTTTCCCCTTCTCTCTCTCTTCTCCTTTGGGACTTTAATTACACATACGTTAGATGAATTGTGACCATACTCCTATGTTGTCTCAGAGCTCTTACATCTACTGTTTGTTTTTGTTTATTTCTTTTCCTTTTGTGTTTCAGCTTATGTAATCACTACTGACATATTTTTAAGTCGTTGATTCTTTCCTTAGCTGCATCCAATCTACCGATGAGCCTACTGAAGAAATTCTTTATCTTTGATACTGTGTTTTTTTTATTTCTGGCATTTCTCTTTGACTTTTCAAACATAATTTCATCTCTCTGAAGAAATTATTTTTATACATGTTGTTTATATGTGTTTATATATGTTTTATACTATACATTGTTTATCCTTTTCATTAGGTCAATAAACAGCTATTTTAAACTCCGTCTGAGAGTTCTAACATTTGGTTCATCTTTGATTCTGAGTCTCTTGATTGCTTTCTCTCTTAATTGAAGCAGAGGTTTGTTCTTTCTTGCTTTTTGTATATCTCATAATATTTCATTGAATGCTGGACAATAAGTATATAAGAATAGTAGAGACTCAAGTAAGTAATATTTATACACAGAAATGGGCACACCTCTTTTATTCAGCCATTAGTACGCAAGGTTAAGTTAATTTAATCAGGAGTTGAGCTGGGTTTGGATTTTGTTGTTTCTGCTACAACTTTTAATGTACCACAGGCTTCAAATTCCCTCAGAAGGGGGATATTTTTTACTATGTGCTGAAAGAAGTGCTGGAGGAGATTTTTCCTTGTTTCTGTTTCATTTGCAGCTTCCAGCAGTTACAGCATGTCTGTGATACAAAATAGACTTCTAACACCAGGTGCTTGACTTTTCTCCAGTGGCAGCAGACCTCTGCTTAGTATTGGTGTGGCATTCTGGGTCCAAAAAGGTTTCCTCCCCTTCTCCAGGGGCAGAGGTTTTTACTTCAGCACCTATTCCAGTAGCAGTGGACCTTTACCTGGGCCCTTGAGAGGAGGTTTGCAGCACGTACATCCAGGAGCTTAAGGCTTTTGTGTCCTTGAAAGTAAGGCTTGGGGACCTGGAAGCCCTTCATGCTTGCCTCTCAGTAGCGGTACATCATCTCCTGTCTGCCAGCACCACCAAGTCTCCCTTTTATTTCTTGTGAGCTCCCCATAGAGGTCTGTGGGAGATAACCTGGAAGTGTGTCTCTTGTATTTGGGACTCCAGCCATTTTAAACAAACACTGTATGCTATACTTGGCCTTTAAGAATTTTTAAAACTATTATTATTACCTTCTTATCATGTATATGGAAGCATCCTCTTTCCCCTGTTCTCTGCTAAAAGTGGGACAGTTTTATGTCCGTTTTCTCCTTGGAGGGGCGTGTCACTACATAATTTACTTTATTGCCTTGTGATTTTAGATCTCTAATGAGTTCAAGAAAAGTTATGATTTTTGTAGGTTTCTTGGCCTTTTATTATTAGTGGGACTAGAGTGGCATTCTCTTGCAGATTTCCATGTCCTAGACAGAAGTGCAGAGGTGGAACTGCAAAAGTAATTTCTTACTTTCTCCTATTCTTCCCCGCCAACTTAATCGTTGTTGTTTTTTTGTCAGTTAGAATCCAAACATCTTACATTATAACTGGTTTATATCTCTTAAGTCTCTTTTAATCTGCATTTCTCTCCACATTTTCTCTTTCTAACTTATTCATTGAAGAGACTGGGTCATATGTCCTATAAAGCTTGTAACAGTTTTGATTTTAATGTTGATGTCCTCATTTTCCTTTCTAATGTGTTTAGTGCTTATATAAAGAGAAGGTATTTATTAATATGCATATTTTCTCTGGTTCATATTCACCTCAGCATAGTCTATTATTAATTATAGCATTTTTTTTCCTAAAAACTACATTCGCTCAGGATTATTTTAGGTATACAATCACATAATCTGTGACTAAAATATTTTTTTGTTTGCTTTTCTAATATTTATATCGTGTATTTCATATTCTTCACCTTATTTATTTTTTTTTAGCTGAGCCATCCTGCCACCTGTTGGCAGCTCAGCGGCTGCTCAGCTCAGGCCTGGACTTGAACCACTGTTGCTCAGAGCTCACACTCTTGAGCGAGCTCTTAACCAACTGAGCCACTCGGCCAACACCTATCATATTCTTATTATATTAGCTATAATCTTCAAAATAATATTAAATAATAATTGTAATAGTTCATGATTTTAATGGAAATGGATTTAATATTTTAGCATCAATTTTGATGATTGCTTTATAATATTGGTAAAATCCATCATTTTTTTGTAGATTTTTTCCTCTTCTCCCTTTACTTAAAACCTTATTAGAAATGACTGTTAGATTTATCAAGTGCCCTATAAGAATCTAGTGATATATTAGTATGTATTATTCTCCTTTATTCTGTGAATGTAATAAAATATCATAATTAATTTACTGATATCAAACCACTCTTGAATTCCTGTTTGAAATAAGTACTATTTAGTTATGCTGAAATAGATTGTAGTAAAGCCACTCTAACTGGTCATAATGATAGAATTTCAGGCTATGTTGGGGTTCCTGAAGGACATTCCTCCTTTTGGAATTTTCCCCTTTTACCAAAATCAGTTAGATTCTAGCAGCATTACCATTAATGGTGAAGGAGGGGTGGCATGCATCTTTGTTTCCTTGGAAAATGAGAAACCATATCAAGATCTCTCAAGCATTACTGAGTGAACTCAGACTGTATGGGTGGCAGCTGTACTTAGGAGAGTTAAATCTGTTATACTGTTTCTCTGCTAAGGCCCTAAGAAATGGAACAATTTCCTTTTCCTTTTGTGTTCTTGGTGCCTAAACCAGTGACTGACTTAAATACTCACTGATTATACATTATATATAATAATTCTACCTCCTGGTTATTAAAATAACACAAATCTAACAACTGGAATGGAACTGGTAAGTCCAGTTTATCCCTCCTTCACTCTTTTTTTTTTTTAAAGATTTTTATTGGGGAATTGGGGGAATGGAACAGCGTTGGGGAACCGGGGAAGGGGAACAGAGAAGTTGCTGTCCTTTTGTTCTTCAGTCTAGTTGTGGAGGACGTGGATTCACTGGCCCATGTTGGTATGATCATTGCGCTCTTCCTGGGTGAGGCAGTCACTTGATGGCCATTGGACAGCTGCTCACAGTGGCTCACGGCAGCTCACGAAAGCTCATGCCCGCTGCTGGCCAGCCCCACTGCAGCCTACGCCGTCGCCAGCGACTCACAGCAGCCCAGCTCCAGGTCGAGCTGTTGTTCACTATCTTAGCTGTAGAGGGCACAGTGTCACTGGCCCTCATGTGGGATCCGAACTGGGGCCTTGCTGCTCAGAGCTGGTGTCCCAAGCCAACTCTTTTCTTTTTTTTTTTTTAAAGATTTTATTGGGGAATTGGGGGGAGGGAACAGTGTTGGGGAATCAGGGAAGGGGAACAGACAGGTAGAAAAATTGCTGGGGTTTTTTCTTCAGTCTAGTTATGGAGGACGTCACTTCACTGTCCCATGTTGGTATGATCATTGTGGTCTTCCCGGGTGAGGCAATCGGTTGCCGGTCATTGGTCGGCCGCTCCCAGTGGCTCCCAGCAGCTCACGCCGGCTGCCAGTCACTCACGTAGCTCACAGCAGCCCACTGCAGCCCCGCTGCAGCCTACGCTGTCGCCGGCGACTCACAGCAGCCCAGCTCCAGGTCGAGCTGTTGTTCATCATCTTAGCTGTAGAGGGCAAGTGTCACTGGCCCTCAATGTGGGATCCGAACCGCAGCCCTGGTGCTCCAGACCGGGCGTCTCAAGCGAGCTCTTAACCAGCTGAGCCACTCGGCCGGCCCCCAAGCCAACTCTTAATCAACGTGCCACTCGGCTGGCCCCCTCTCTTTTTGTCATTATAAGCATTTATTGAGTGCTTCTATATAAGTATATAGTATATATATATATATATATATATATATATATATATATATAACTATATAAGTATATAAACTATATATAAGTATAGTTTTTAAAATCAAAGGATAAAAATATTACATGTGTAAACCATATCATACCCTTAGTAATAAATATTTCAATTTAATAAACATTTATTAAGTACCTATATTGTATAAGGCACTGTATTATATGGTATATAGAATGCAAAATGCTTAAGACCATACTCTTAAGAAACTCAGCATCTTTAGGGTAAATAATTAGAAAGTTGCACAGATGACTATTCCATAAAGCA